CACACACACACACACACACACACACACACACACACACACACACACACGAACGCACACACACACCACACCTACTGCCAATCTGCTGTAGTAGTCCGAAAGATACAATACAGAGCATGTCGACCGCTTGTGCGTTAGATCTGAACGAGTCTCGCAGACAGTAGTGGTAACTACAGGCTAAAGACTCACTCAACCGCGCACACGGGAGTGCCAGCTGACGCTATAGCACTCTCTCTCTCTCTCTCTCTCTCTCGCTGTGCCATGAGCCGACCACTGTTTATGACTATAGCAGGTCATTACCCGCTGGGACAAGAGCGCGAGCACTCACCTAGCAGGAATTTATATAGTCGAGCGTATATACTTATATACTAAAGCTCCACAACTTCGCTCCCCGCGAACCTTTGAAGTTCCCCACGACTGGTAATTCGTAATGGCGCGTTAGTTAAGAGTAAACGTTAGATGAAATATAAATTATATGCTCGTGTCTCTTGATCGAGATGTAGGCCCTACGTTACACTATCGTTTCGCAATAGTTGCGTTTTGGTTGTCGACGTCGTGTGCATCTGTAATAAAATGCTATCATTTGCGATAATAGCTAAGGTTCCGTATGGATTATGCTATATAAGATATATATATAACGACTCTAGACCTAATTACCAGGAAATATATGGTTTGCAATTACGGAAATACATTACTAGACTCCTTGGGTAACTAGATAGATCATTTCGCATGTTAATAATCACATCCGAACAGGTTGGTGACTAGGTTTCTCTTATTTATCAATATGATATGCGAGGCATGGTAATAAGAAGAGTGTGGGAGTTCCCGCTAACTTTTCGTTTCCTTATGAAGTGTTGATTAGGTATCCTACCTTTTACAGTGCCAGGCGATGCACTGATCGCAAATATCACAGATAACATCCTGAGAAGTGGAAACGCCATATTTCTATCAGCATCAGCTCTCGTGTAAACGCATGGAGTCCACCACTCGATGGCGTTTCATCTGTCGCAGCTCCACAAACGTTCGTCACGACTATCACCAATTAGGTAATTCGCTCCAGTTTTGAGCCGCGCTGTAATGTGTTGTGCGAACGTGCGTCTGTTATTTCGCGTATTTAAGCGAGCGCAATCGCTGCGGCCTTGCTTTCAAATAGGCGGAAAGTGTGTCACGAAATCGACATCACACAACTTGAGCAAATAGACGTCGATGTAACAATGTTCCCGGTAGGTACACACACACACAGACACACACACCGTGAATGACAGTGGCTTTGACTGATGAGAAAGCGGTGGAAATGTTTGACGAGTCACAACGCGATCAGTGGCACGTACGCACGCGATTATCACTAAACCAACATCATCAGCAGCAGCAACTCTCGACGCGACGACGGCACTCAGTCGTTGTTCCCGCGTACCGGAATCGAATCGTCATTTAATTCGTCACGAGCGAATTCACTTGGCGCGCACACACGGAGATTGTCGCGAACACGCGTGCGACAAACGCACTGCGACACACTCCTTCGCTTCACTCACTGGAATCACACGGCTATACTTATAACTGCGAACAGATAACACGGTGTTCTCTTCTGCGTACCCACGTCATAATTAACCGATGGGTACGGGACATTTCCTATACGCGAGTATCTTCGGAATTTTTGCACGGATGAATGCAGCAGCGATATCTAAGTCCGGCTGCGGCCCGCTCCGTCCTGTAGCTGTGTGTGTGTGTGCGTGTATTATTAGTGGTGCAGTGGTGGTAAAACGGGGTTAGCCGTCACGCTAGAGTTACCTGACCCCGCGAAGACCGGTAGCATTACTCTGACCCCGCAGAGAGAGTCATCGCATTATCTATCCGCGGCGCAGCCAAGCCGGTGAACGGCGGCCTGTGACTCCCCACGTCATCATGAAAGAGTTACTTGTTGTTGACTAAATCGTAAGTGTTTTGATATTACGATGTGGTGACTATACACGGTACATCTACGTTATTATGACAGTGTATAATTCATCTTCATTGATTCTGTTTTAGGTAGACGACGGAGGCATCGATTGTGATAATACTATGATAAGGATATTCCATTATTAACGCTTAAAATGAACATTGCGCCGGTTCACGTGATGTTCAAGGACACACACAAACAATCCTATACACACACGCGCGCGCATGCGCGAAAACCTAATGAAACACCGGCTATGCGCGCACCTGCCGCTAGCGGCGCTGATCGTCAAATCGGTTACTTAGCAACCCGCAAGTAGTCAGGCCCCTTAGTGCAAAATATGGGCCGAATCGTTACAGGAGTGACAAACGTCTCAAACTTGGCACAGTTGTAGCTTATGGCAGTACTATAATTATATAGACGGAGGGCCCAATGCAGATATTCCTTAGAATTGAATTATAGATGATTAAATGTTCGAACCATCCGACTCCGAACCCCCCTACCGCGCCCCAGTAGGCCTACACACAGTACAGGCGGGTACAGTATATTTAATCATCTGTAATTCACTTCCGCGCGCATATAAATTATTTGCTAATATATTGACTAATCGTGCGTCAATAAACTCAATATTCGCAGAGAGTATAGCTAACACATGTGTCTATAGGTATCTGGAAATGTAACTCAAATCCTTCGCGAGATATTAGAGTTAGTATACTATCCTACGGGCCATAGCCGCGCGTATATATTAGCCTATGAGTGTAATGACATACCGCTACTCCGCCAACATCATCGGCCGGGGGGCGTGAGCGTACACGTATACACGACCGGGCCGGACCCACCCGCGGGATGGACACCTCCCCTAACCTACGCGTCGGCCTCCCCACGGCCCGATCCCAGCCGCGGCCAAAATCCCCAACGCGGCCCGGGACCCCGGCGCGGCCCGCCTCCCGGCCCCCCGCGGCGCCCCCGGGCCACCACGTCGAAAATAAGTTGTGTCGAGCGGCCATCGTTTAGTACGACATCCAGCCTTCCTACAGGAATGTCCTCACCGAGTCCCTGGTGGCGGTACTTCCACGCCTGCTCGCGGAGATACTCCTTTGATGTCATTACATCAAGCGGTGCTTTGTTAAACTCGACCGGTAGGATGCTGTAGCCGGATAGATGCAGCACGATCGTAAGTAGAATCCAGGCTATGTGGATTGCCAAAAGTACAGCAAAGCTTGCACGCTGACACGGGAAATGCGACGCCATCAGTGATATTCGACGATTGCTGAGAATTCTCATAGAATGCTGCCATGTCCTCGATGAAGCAAGAGACTACCGCGCGGACCGTTCCGATACCAACTCCCAGCCGGCCGTCCGCCCCCCCCTACGGGACGTGGCCCGCCGCCGCCCGGCCTCCCCCACCCGGCGGCGCCCCGGCACGGACCACACCGGTGCGGCGGCCGCGGGCATTGTACGACGCAGTTGAGAAACTCACAAGGCGGGCGATGATGATAGTGGGCGGGTGGGCGGAGAAAGTAGATCATAAAAACATACGGATTAAAACTATAGTTTTTTCCAAGTTTCATTACGACAACTGAAAAGACAAAAAAAACTAACCTTGTCTCTCGTTTACAAACTGTTACATAACCACTGTCGAAAAATGAAATATGAAAATAATGTTAATAGCACTAGGGTATATTCGTGATGAAGGGTGTATATATAATAACCAACAGATCATGCGCAGATCCACTAATCAGCAATCACAGGCGTAAACGTGCACTTACGGTTTCATTTCTTACGGCAGCGACACTCTCGCCTCGTGCTTCGTCTCCGCGCTCACACGCGACGAATGTAGAGTGTATACCGACATAGATCTCGGATTGTATACCGACATACCGAGTATACATAAAAACAACAGTCATATTAGCAACACAATATATCAACGAACTATATTAGAACGTAGATCACCAACAACAATTAATGAAAAAGACGTCTATTACTATTAGAAACAAATCTCCCTTAGAGAAAAAACGTCTTTGATGTACTGTGCGTACGTTAGTACACGAATACAACAAATATTCTTAAATATACTAGACACTTATATCTAAAACACACATGTTATTAACAAACTGAATCTGTCTACTCGTGTTATACCTTGCCAAGCTGTGGGAAACGGCATCAGTACATAAGTAGCCGGCGCGCCCGGGGGAGGCGGGTGACGGCCCCGGGCCCACGGCGTGTGGAACGGAGTAATGTGGTCCGGGGGACCGAATTAACGGTCAGCTCGGTTACGTACGTGGTTTACGTGGGCTCCGATACCGTGCGTATATTTTTTATAATAAATTAAACTATTCGTGCTTTAACAAACTAAAAATTTACAAAGACCATAGAGCTAAGACATGTGTTTATATGTATCTAGAATTTTAGAAAATGTAACTCAAATCGTTCGCGAGATATTAGAGTTAGTACACTATCCTACGGGCCATAGCCGCGCGTATATATTAGCATATGAGCGATACCGTGCGTATATTTTTAGTAATTAATTAAACTATTCGTGATGATTCAATAAACTCAAAATTCACAGGGATTATAGCTAAGACATGTGTTTATATGTTTTAATGTAGCTCAATTCGTTCGCGAGATATGAGAGTTAATACACTTTCATGCCGCCTATAGCGTATGCGGGGGGGGGGAAGGGGGGTTAACAGCTGTATACAATGCGCCAGTACAGGCGGGCGCGGTTCCAACATTTAATCATCTGTAATTCACTTCTAAGGAATATCTACATTGGGCACTCCCTCTAATATTTATAGTACTGCCATAGGCTACAACTGTGCCAAGTTTGATGCTTTTGTCAGCTATGTAGGTAACGATCGTGAAGCTAAGGGACCTGACTAAAGTGTTTACAATCACAATTGCATTGAATAAACCGAGTTGAATATCAGCGCCGCGCTGCGGATTAGTTCCGCCGGTACCCCATTACTTTGTCATCATTCACTGATTCTTGGGCGTAATTGGAAGTAACAGAGGTTCCACACAATGGTCGTGCGGCGACAATGTTTTATCGTCCCACGTTCAACAAAGGTATGTATTGTTAACACATAATTTACGGTTCTTAATTTTACCCACCTTGGCACTGCGAAGGAAAATTGAGAATTTGCAAAATTCGCCACGCGCATATACGCTATGTATGCTAGAAATGTGGGGCATGCAATCAGTACCCGTTAAATTTACAATGTACATACGTGCGAACACGCACACACACGCACACATAACAAACCCGCACACACGCATGCGTGTATGTGTACTCGATGCATGTTGTGTGTAGTGTATACTCAGAAAATAGTCACGTAAAACGCATTTACACGCATGATAAATTTCTACCATATAAATGCCACTGTGCATCTTATCTTATGTCTTTATTATATAGATCGTACGTATCGCCAGCCGGTGATGAGTTTTATTTGTCAAGTAGGTATTGACAAGTAGAGAGAGAGAGAGAGAGAAAGAGAGCGAGAAGAGAGAGAGAGAGAGAGAGAGAGAGAGAGAGAGAGAGAGAGAGAGAGAAGGTCTGCGCGTGCTACTGCGCGCTCATGTTTATCCTGACTCTTCACTGTCTAGCGTCTGTAATCTGTATGTCTGTGAGCGTGTGAGCTACAGACATTAGCTCGCAATCAGGCGCGCGCACGCGCACACGCACGTACATACGTAAACGACAAGGTTGGTTTGGAGTGACTCGTAAGAAATAGCTAGCTATAAATTATGTCACTAGGAATATTTCTATACGCTGATTAACTGCAACTATATTGTAACTATGAGGAGCTTAGTTAGTGCGTGCTAGTCTATCGCTAATGAGTAATTATAGCGTTCACCAGTACGAAGATTGCAGTAGATCATAATAAGCAGCTCTCTATACTTTACCAGCCTAATCTCACAGGCTTCCCATGCAAGCAGGCGGCGCATAGGACGGAAAAAAAACGCCAAAAAGGGGCTCCAACGAACGACGGCTGCCGTACCTCCAGCCACTCCGTAAAATCTAAACGAAAGTTACGAAAGTAGCACCACAGGATGTTTACAGTGTGTACACATCCGGTACACCGCCGAGCGAACGTTGTGCTGCATTAACAGTTCTTTTCTATATGGTAACACATGTTATACTTTATTGTTCGATGTTTACTCGGTACGAAATTGTGAAATTTGTTTAAATCACATGTTATCTACATTACATAATGATATGCAATCAGGAAACAAATATTATGTTTTCATCCCAGGAACTATTTGCGCTAGCGCAGGACTATTATTTAGCGTCCTCTGACACTTTGCTCAACATAATTTATTTGTATTCTCGCCAAAACCGCGTCTGACGGGGTAATTCAAAATAGTCATTTTTAGAGCACATTTCTGGCTCAATGAGAACATTTCGTGATGTTTGCATACTGAAAGTATGCTCACAGTATGTGTATATAGGCTTTTAGTTGCGAGTTTTATCCACTTTAAGTACGGTGGCGTGAATAGGTGCATGCGAATTGTGACGCAGCATTACGAAATCGCAGGCTCGATGTCTCGCATGCATACGGCGAGTGGCAGCTGCTATACGTGCATTCCAGCACACTCGTAGCAAGCTAGGAGCCTTCTCATGCTCATGCTCATAAAATACTGACGAAGGATTTATTATTCAAAGCACACATTTTGTTGCAATCACTTATGGAAATATTTTATGTTCAACGCTACGAAACAAGCGAAAATCGATCACTCGTAATAATAATATAAGTGTTTTTAAATAAAGCGA